GATTAGGTTAAGGAGCCAACTGAAGATTTTTCTTGTTTATGTCCATCAGTGAATGTGGTACAAGGCTGAAAATATAATCTTGTGTATCAAATTAGGAAAGCAAGCTGTCAAGTAATTCATATGCTAAAATCATGCAGTCATCAAGGGAGTCTGTATTGATTCAGACATATTATCAATGTATCATTGACTTGTTTTTCCTAGTGCATATGCTTCAGGCTGGTCACATGTGTCTCCTGGCAGATTAAATATCTAACAGTCCACGGTCATGGAAAATTTGTTGTGGTAAACAACACTGAACTATTCGTGGCTTCTTGAGCTCTGAAACAATATTCACTGATTAATTGTCAGGCTTGAAACTTATAAACTACATTTCTCAAAAGCTCTTTGCATGAGACATCCATATTTTCCTACTTAGGAACATAGATAACTTCACTACCTCCAGCAAATGTCTGAACACGTACAATCATACAATCATAGAACCCTTAGAGTTGGAAGGAACCTCTGAAGGCCCTCTGGTCCAATCGCCCTGCAATGAATAGGGACACCACAGCTAGATCAGGTTGCCCAGGGCCTGATCCGACCTCACCTTGAAAGCCTCCAGGGATGGGGCATCAACCACACCTCAAGTCCAAATTCACCTTATGTCTGCATAGTGTGGATACAGGTATGTTCTCAGATGTGCTGGAAGAACAAACTCTGTATGAGGCCAGAGAAGAAGACTCTGATATATCACACTGACATTAATTAGATAGATCTGCCTGTGAATCAGAAAGTCTGGCATCTTTTCTTCTTCTGCGTCTCTGAGTACTGGCACAGTGCGACCTGACCTGAGCCAATCAAGTGCTTCTCGTCAGCAAACATTAACATTAATGGAGGCTCAGCTTTAAAAGCAAAGTTTAAAATCTTCCTGGAAGAGAGAAAATAAAAAAAATTTAAAAATAGGATTCATTAGAGGAAAACTGCTTTGTACCTTATTACGTGGAAAAAAATTCTTGAAAAAATTCATGGCATCTCCATGCTATCCAGTTTTGTTTTGATCAGTGTGGATTTACACTGAGTGGTTATTAGGAAAGCAGAATCAATTCAGACTTATGGATGACGACATTTCTGGTCTCTGCTAGGAACTGTCATACACTGTCATGCGATGGGCAAAGAGTGCAACCCCTTGTATTTATTAACAACTACCTACCATCATCTTCTGAAGAAATACAGAAAATATTTGTAAGGGGAAAAATGGGGAACTGCGTTCAGAAACGAGGTATACTTGGATTAGAAGAGGCATTTGAGAAACACTGTAACAGAGATTCACCCAACATTTTTATTACTTCCTGGATGATCACCTTGACAGAGAGAAAAGGGAACAGTTTATTCATGGAAGAATGAACTTTATGATTTGAATGGCTGAACTCAGTTGTGCTGCAGAACATGAGAGTAATTCTTTTGACTTCACTACTGACTACTCTGGAATTGAGCTGAGTGAGGACAGTTTTTTCTCCTGTATTCTCTGATAACTTGGTAGTATGCTGATTATTTGGTCACAGTAGGCAAGCGGGCGTCGCTGCATTCTGTTTTATTTTTCTCCTAGATGCAGCACAGCAGTAGCTACTAATGTGTCAATAGGTACTACATTACGAATGATTCCACAGAAAGACAGGAGAGAGACAGAACAATCTATCAAAAGTCCTTTAGGCGGGTGGGATTTGATGCCTCACTGATGTAATTGCTGTTTATCCGCCTATCTGAGTATTCTTGGCAAAGACATTTGGCAGTAGCTCTGTTGAGCTCATTTGAGTCCTGGCAACTTCTCTCCACTCGGAATCTGCCCCAAGAAACTCAATAGGTCAGAATTCTTCTCCAGGCTGCTGTAACTCCATAAAGAACTTGAAATAATTTCATTTTCTTTGCCTAAGTTTCTGCAAATGTGAATAGGTTCTATTAACAGTCATCACCATCTATGGGAGGCATAGTTCAACCTGCTGAAGAACGCAGCAATAATTAGCTATGTAATAAGTGATGGAAATACAAAGACATGGTGAGACTTCTAGGGAAGTGCTACTGAAAAAGCAAAAACAAAGCAACGCGATAGCCCAGATAGAGAAAAGCATTGATAACTAAGGTCCTAGTTCTAAAGAATCAGCTGCATTGCTGTACCTGCAATAGTAGCTACTTTACCAAGTGTATGGGAACTGTTGAGTCACAGCCTGAACCACTGATTGATCACCTGAGGCAAGCACTGAGTCAGCCCTGGGAGCACAGGTGAAGGCAATTCAGCTGTTTGACCAGGAGGGGTGGAGCTGGGCTGCACCTCTCCTAGACCCATGTAAGGGCTGACTGCCCCTGGGGAAGGATCTCTTTCTGAAGGTCTCTTCTCTGTGGAGTCTTTTCTGCAAACTAGATCTTTAGATGCAGGTGACCATTCCTTCCCTGTTTATTTCTTTTCCTGTTTTCATTACAATAGTCTTTTCAGCTGTAACACCAAGGATGTGAGTTTGGAAATTCAAAGGAAGTTGGCAAAATAATGTTTATTTTTCCAATGTGCTAATAGGATCTTTCTTCAGTAGAATTTAAGAGAATTTGTCAGGTTAGGTGTAGTGTTACATAATATCAGTTTCATTTTTGTTGTATTGCCCTTATTTTTTCTTGATGAAAATATATTTGAGATAAATACTTAATGTCCTTGCTTTTAAGAAAGTATCCTTGAATGACTTCAGTCTACTGACAACTTCATATTCCTGGGAGCTAATACTGCTGAGCTGTGAGTTACCACAACTGAGAAGAGACAGTGTAGCTCAAAATTTAACTGTGACAGAAGCAGACGTTTTCACCTAGAAAGATAGCAGAGGATAGGGAAACATGTCAACTGAGAGCACCCGCAGCAGTAACTCTGAAGGAGCCTGAGATGTCATTTGACTGGTCACCAGGAAATGACAAATGGGGAGCTTGTACAGACGTTATCTGGAGAGTGTGTGAAACAAGGCATGCACCTTGGGAGCAGGGCAAGGCCAGGCTCTGGTGTGTGGGGAAAACTGCACAGGCACAGCTTGCCTCAGAGCACTGGCAGAGCCTTTTTCTGCTTTGGATGCTTTGCAGCACACAAAAGGATTTTTGCCGCGTAGTTCGTATTTTTTCTCATTCCTCTCTTAATTCATATTTTTTTATTTTTGCCGTTGAAGCAATTAAAATATTCAGTCAGCGTATTGTGTTTTAAAAACCTAAAACACAGAGATAGGTGGGCATGTTTGTATTTTGTCATTCCTGACATTACTCATCGTTCCAGAACAAATTGTATATTTTTTAACTGCATTCTGTTTTCCATCAGATCCTGTCTTGTTTCTCTGGTAGAAGTGTGAAGCTCTGTGATTGGTTCACCTTTTGCAGAACCGAAGCTTAAATTTTTGTTTCTAGTCTCTTTCAGTAAATGTCATCTATTTTGTCATGTAGGTGGCTTTTCATGTGGTATGCTTGATTTTTGAAAATCTGGTAGGGATGGGAATTAAATGTATTTCAGACCAAGGATTAAATGGTGGTAGATTGGAGAGGAAGAGGGGAAAAAAAAAAATCAAGCAAATAGCACTCCACTGCTCCCATCATTACCACCTCCTAACTTTTCTCAGATAAATCTGATTAATTATTCCTGGCTTGGAACACAACTTGTAGTTGCAAAGTCATCCTGTTCGCATTGGTAAAGTTTTGATCTGCAGCACATTTTCTCTTTGTAATCTTTTTCTGGTTACTGAACTGAAGGATATCAGCGTTTCTCTGAGCAATAGAAGCACAGGCTCTTCTTGACTGTACCAGTGTCTGCTCACAGCTCTGCACTTCCACTGGCTGCTATAGCCTTCCAAGCGACCAGCACACTACTCAGAAGGTTGGACTTGATGAGTAGAACTCTGATTTTAAAAATCTCCCCTTTCCCTGCAGTTTTGAAAGTACCCTGTAGCTGCCTCCATTCTAATGTCCCAGTCAAAATATTACTTGAGGTGGTAAAATGGCCAGGTAAGTTCCTGGATTGCTTTGAGTTTTCACCAGCAACACACTTAGTGAGAAAATTTTTGACAGAGATGTGTATATATAGCCTAGTTGAAATTAAAGTATTGTACTCCTTGCATGTTAGTTGTGCATCAGTCTTGTGTCTCATAATTAGACACAAGTATATTTACTATTTTTAAAGAAGTAATGCCAGAGTACCCTCAAGCTGGATTTGTTGCAGAATATTTTGAAATAAGCTGTTCCTGATATTCTTGACATCCTTGATCATTTAACTTTTTTTTTTTTTCCTCTTAATGACAGAATGATAGTTTATATAAGATGGTATGTTCAAAACTTACTATCTAGGCCACCTTAGGAATTAATAAGATTTCTTGTTTTAAATTGCTTCAGGGTCCACCTCTAAATTAATAGAATGAATTCCCCTTGATTTGTCCGTTGTACCTTTCTTTATGTTTCTGCAGACTTCCTTCTCTTGGCCTTTAAATTTCACTTGCAAGACTTTTTTTCCAATTTTAATGTTAAAACATCGTCTCAGGTGTTGTAGTAGCTGCTCACAAATTTGAGTTAACTGCAGAAGGAAGGGCTCCTGGTAACTTTATTGAGTAAAGTTTTTGGTGTATTTTTTTCATGTGCAGTAATCTCATGCTCTTTTCTTACAGTGCTTATGCTCTCTAACTTATGATCTATTACAGTCTGAAACAGGTTTCTCCAGTGTAGAAGCCCATGACAAGCCAAACTTGCTGAACCTTGAGAAATCTTGCAGAGGCAACAGTTTTGGCTAACTTCTGACTGCTTTTACGGTGGTTGAAGTTTGTCCCTGTATGGTTATGTTGCCACAAAAAAAGTAATACTAGAATTCAAATGGATGTAATGTAGCAGCTTTGTGAGACTGCCAGCATACCTTTACTGGAGTATACCCTCCATAAGCCAGAGCTTAATTAAACTAGGTAACATATATACCACTGGTTTTTATTTCCTAATGTTATGGTTATCATTTTGGCCTGTTTCAGATAAGAAGACAAGGCGGAATACAATTACTGGTGGACCTATTGGACCATCGGATGACTGAAGTCCACCGTAGTGCCTGTGGAGCTTTGAGAAATTTGGTATATGGGAAGGCAAATGATGACAACAAAATAGCTCTGAAAAACTGTGGTGGTATTCCAGCTTTAGTACGGTTACTCCGCAAGACTACAGATTTGGAAATCAGAGAACTGGTCACAGGTTTGAACCTTTCCCTATCTTTTGTTCAAGTTCTATGTAGACCCTACAAGCACAGTTCTGTGATGCGTGTCAATAGCTCCCTCAATAACTTTTTTTTAACTATTGTCTTCCTCACAGTAGCAAAACACTTCCAAGCCTTCTGAATGTGTGTAATATAGAAATAGCTTTATTTGATATTATGCTGTCTATGTACTAGAGTGGGCATGGTTTCCAGATGGAGTTCCTGCTTATTTTGTTCTTGCTTAGCCGTGCAGGAGATGTACTCCATGCATGGCTGTGACTTTTTTGGGGTGCAGAATTCTACCGTCAGCTGTACTCTGCTCCTCATCGTGTCTCATGTAGGGCTGTGGGTGTAGAAGTCAGCGTTCATTGAATGCTCTTAGAAACTGTTACGCAATTCCTGTGTATCTTATACAGGGAAAATGGTGGTGGTGGTGGTGTTTAATTTTCTTACAGTTTTGATAGGAAAGTGAACAACATGCTGGAGAGATGAACTGTATACTCTCCTGAAGCTTTTTACTCTAAAATGTGATAACAATGTATGTGATGTATTTTAGATAAAAGGGAAGCAGGTAGTGGTAAAGTCTATTTCTTTTCTTGATAGTATAAAAACCATCCTTTCTGAGATTGTCCAGGGTGTTTTTCCCTAATGAAATTTAAGTTTATTTTTTTAAAAATGCTCCCAAACAGTACCAGTCGGAAACATTTGGAGATTCCTTTCTCCTAAACCACCCTAATTAAAATGCAAAACAAAAGATAGATGGCTTTCTTTTGATTTTTTTTTTTTTTTTTCCATGTAGTGATTTCATTATATTTGATTGCTAACATCAATGCGGTAATTAATTTAATGCTACAAGTTTAAAAAAAAAAAAAAAAATCTTAATATCTTTTAATTATCCTATTTTACAATGCCCGTATTTTCATTATTATTTTTCCTCTATAGTATGTGAGAAAAGTTCTTATCTTTGTCATAGCATTGCCAGAGTACACACCATCATCCAGTTTCTGCAGAAATTACTTAACCTGGTGGGTCAGGCCCAGGTTGATAAGATTGCCATCCACTGGTTGATTCCAGATTCTGAACAAACTTCACTGTGTTTATTAAATGAGAAGTAATGTATTTGATTTTGTTTCTTAGTTACATTACCTATCAGCTCACACTTGTTAGGCAGGATTAATAGCATTGAGATGTCGGGCTACACATGCTCTGATGGAATCTCCTGCAGAGTGACAGAATTACTGGCAGATGTAATGAAATGTAACCACTATTTCAGATACGACATACTTACTAGAGTCTTGTTGTCCCTGCCCTAGCTCTAGGGAACATTATGCTTTTTTTTTGTTCTGAGTAATAAGTGGCAAACACTTAATGAACATCAGCAGTACACTTCAGTGGCTTGTTTCGGTGGCAGCTTCCTTGCTGTCTGTACACTATACATTATGCCACAGGTCATTTAAAAAGGGATAATAGGCTACAGTTTGCATTCCTTCCATTACACAATATCTTGTTAATTTTTCCTGAATTCCAACAGAAAGAATGAATGTGCTGAATGCCCTCAAATTGCTACTGCCAAGCAGTTTAGGTACTATCAGTGGTAGGAACCAGGCTGAATACAGCTAGATGCAGCTAAGGGAGATGTCCAGCTCTCCTGATACTAAACATCTGTGAAAGGAGTGCATGGTGAGATGACTTTGAGGAATAGAATCAAACCTGGTAGCTCAGGAGGGCCCACCTGTGTGTTTTGTGGGGTTTTTCTTGTTTGTGTTGTTTTACCTTTAAGCCCAGCAGGCTGTTGCTTGCACTGGTTGTGTTTGTGCATTTTGGAATGCAGATTGCTAGCACTGGCTTTGAAAATGAAGTTCTGATGGTGATACTCTGGAAAGCTCCTTTCAAAAGCAATGCTCATAGCTGCACCTCTCATCTTGTGCCTCTTTAAAAACATGCTGGAATTTGTGCATCGACACCAGTTATCCTTTTTTGACAAGCATGGTAGTATGACTGCTACCCCAGTTAAATTCCTTACCTGTTTTTTCTGGGGAAGGAAGGGTGTCTGCAGCAGCTGCCTCAGGAATAAGAAATATTTAACTTGGTGGTGGGCAGAAGGGAAAATAAAAACTTCTCCCACTTCCTGTCAGCTTTCTTGAGTTGAGGTGGCAGGAGGATAATTATTTCAATAGTGCCACTGTAGCCTGAAGGAAATACAGAGAAAATAATAGCAAATGTGTGTTTTAATAGTAAGCATGCTGCCTAGAGCCTTTCAAGCCCATGTTCATTCTGCATCCTGTCTACACAAAAGCTGTTTTTGTTTGTTAGTTCCAGAGAGAGCACAAAGTTCCTGCCTTAAGAATTCATGTGGGCTGTGTCACCACAGCCTCTAAATATTCCTCATGCATTCGTCCTCAGTGTGCTCCTCTTGGGTGGAGAAGTATCATTATCTCAGTTTTACAGATGGGGAACTGAGCCTATCAAGTCTAAATGACCTGTCCAGAAATCCAGCAAGACGAAGGTGTGAATCATTTTGAGTAGGCACTTAGCTGTGAGGAAAAAAATATGGGCAGAAAATGTTTTTAGCAGCTCAATTTATCTGAATAGTAGTGAAGCATTCACTGCCTGCTTCAAGTACCGTGAAGCACATGCCCGCCAAGGTGAAAGTTATGATATTTTTTCTTCCCTCCAACATGCACATATTCTTCCTTTTTGTTCCTTCTCTCTGAGGAGCTGAGAGTTTCAATTTCCAGCTATCTCAAGACTGGTTTTGGAAGGGTACTTAAGCCTGCAAAGCAGCTTTCTATTCTAGTAGCTTCTTGCTTTTCCACATTGCCTTTAACACCATGAATGTTTTCTTCCTTTTTCTTCAGCTCCTAGGCTGAAGCTGTGAGAGAAGTGTAGTGCCTAGCTGCTATGAAATGAAGTGACATTAATACCCATTAAATACATCTGGAAATATTGAAAGGTTTCTCTTCCAGAAACACTTCTATAGTCACTGTGGGGTTTTTTGCTTGAAGAACCTGAATAAAGTAACTGAGGTAGACCAATGGATATTGGTTTTCTCAGCAGACCTGAGGAGAAGGATTTGGGGATGTTGGTTGATAAAAGACACAACGTGAGCTGGCACTTGCAGCCCAGAAAACCAACCATGTACTCGGTTGCATCAAGAGAAAGTGTGACCAGCAGGTCAAGGGAGGTGATTCTGCCCCTTTACTCTGCTCTTGTGAGACCCCACCTAGAATACTGTGTCCATTTCTGGAGCCCCAAACACAAGAAGAACATGGAGTTCCTGGAGCAGGTCCAGAGGATCACTGGACTAGAGCACCTCCCCTATCAGTATGGGCTCTGAGAGCTGGGGTTCTTCAGCCTGGAGAAGTGAAGGCTCTGGGGAACCTTATAGTGGCATTCCAGTACCTGAAGGGAGGCTACATGAAAGCTGGGGGCGGGGACTTTTTGTAAGGGCAGGCAGCAACAGGACATGGGGAAATGGCTTTAAACTGGAAGAGGGTAGATTTGGACTAGATATTTGGAAGAAATTCTTTACTGTGAGGGTGGTGAGACACTGGAACAGGTTGTCCAGTGAGGATGTGGATGTCCGCTCCCTCGAAGTGCTCGAGGCTGGGCTAGATGGGGCTTTGAGCAACCTGATGCAGTGGGAGGTGTCCCTGCCTATAGCAGGGGGGCTGGAACTAGATGATCTTAAAGGTCCCTTCTAACTGAAACCATTCTATGATTCTATATAAATGCTATATAGAAGTGAATGTTCTGATAGAAATAAGAGTTTTCATCAGGGCCTACAGTGAGGAATCTGCAACCTCTGACCATTTCCAGAGACTCAAGGAGTCTTGTTTCATGTAAATATGTAAATGAAAAGAATTCCATGTAATCTGAATGCACCACAACTAATTTAGATGTTTTTTTCAGCCCTGCCCTGTGTTACTATTTTCTAGAATAGCTCCTGTTAATGGGAGCCTTTTATTTTAGAATAATTAAATGCTAACACTTTTCTAACAAATGTAAATAAAAGAGAACACAGTGCAAAATTAGAACAGATTCTGCAGATGGTAGAAAAATGTTTTCACTCTTTATTAATGAAAATGTTTAGCTGATCGTGACTCAGCTTTCCTTCCCTGAGTTACAGTTAATTATGAACTCTTCCACAAATTTCTATTTTAGCATTCTTATATCTGGTTTATTATCAGGGGAAAAATAAAAACCAATGTGTAAAAATAAGATGTGCTAGCAAGATTAATCCAGTTGATTCCTTTTGAGAAGGTGAGGTAAAGCAGCATTTGGTAGATTCATGCTACCCTTGCTCCTCGGCTACAACAGCTACACCTGATGACTGGTTGCCTGTTTCAGAGCACTTTGAACCCTTTTCATTTTGGCAAACAAAATCTGTAACAAATGGGAGCACAGATTATACTACTTGAGGAATAAGCTCACTAAATTAGAAACGCCTCAATTTAAACAGGTCCATTCTGTGACTGTACCTCAATTTTTCAAACTGTATATATTGTATTTAACTGAAAGTAAAAATGATACGCTTTTAGAAAGCACATGATAAAAAACAAAGCTTTAAGTAATTACAGGGAAGATTTTTTTTTATGCTGACAATCATCTTGATGCTTATTTTGATTGACATTAAGATGTCGAAGATCTAATTATTGTGTGTGGAAAGCATATAAATTGTAAAGATCAGAGTTTTACCCTCAACATCTAAAAATCATGAACTGTTTAATACTGCACATATATACTATATAGAAAGGTGTGTGTAGTCTCAGTATATTTCGTTCACATTTATGTTGAATCTAAAAAACACATTACATTGTTGCAATAAGTAGGGAAAAAAAAAAAAAGAACTCGTGTACCTATATTTCTTCCAAATAATCACTCATCTCCAAATGTGATTAAACCATAGTATGGTTGAACATGAAATTTTTTTCATTTACTTAATGGATCTTGGTCATATCTGTGTTGACTGTTTCAACTGTGGCTTAGTTAGATTTTA